ACCATCACCATGACCAGCTTCATACACACACATCACCATCAACATCATCATCAACATCATCATCATCATTATCATCATCATCACCACCATCATCAGCATCACCATCGTCACCACCCAACATCACCGTCATCATCATCATCATCATCATCATCATCATCATTATCATCATCATCATCATCATCGTCATCATCATCATCCTTAGAACTCACCATCACCGTCATCACATCATCATCGTCATCATCATCATTGCCGTCACCATCCAACATCATCGCCATCATAATCCTCATCACTCACCATCACCATCATCAGCCCATCACCACTCACCAGCACTTACCATCACCATCACCATCATCACACATGTATCGTGATCAGCATCCCATCCCGACCATCGACCAAAAGGGAGCTTTGTATGTGAGTGAATCGAGAGGAGGTCTCAGGCGGGAGCCCCCGCCCTGTGGGGCCCGCACTTGAACGTAGAGGAACTCTCAGACAGGAGCTTCGTCGGTGAGTGAATCGCGAGGAAGTCTCAGGCGGGAGCCCCCTCCCTGTGGGGCCCGCACTTCATGTTCGAATCCGAGCGGGTCATCCAAATCCTGTAAGTGTCGTCACTGTTGGGCTCTTCAGGCCTGGCCTGAACATGCAGGAAGTCTCAGACGGGAGCCTCTTCTATGAGTGAATCGCGAGGAAGTCTTTGGCCGGAGCCTCCTCCCTATGGGGCCCGCACTTCATGTTCGAATCCGAGCGGGTCATCCAAATCCTTTAATACATCGTCTTTTTTGGGCTCCTCAGGCTTGAATCTTGGGGGAGTCTCAGGCGGGAGCCTCCCTGGTGAGTGAATCGCGAGGAAGTCTCAATTGTGAAGCCTGTTCCCCATGGGGCCCGCACTTCATGTTTGAATCCGAGGCGGGTCATCGGAATCTTGTAACCGGTGTCACTTTTAGGTTCCTGTGGCCTGAATATGGAGGAAGCCTCGAGTGGGACCCCCCTCCCTGTGGGGCCCGCGCGTCATGTCGGTAATCCGAACGGGTCATCGGGATTCTTGTGCTTGTCGTCATCTTTGAGCTTCTCAGGCTTGAGTATGCAAGAAGTCTCGAGCGGGAGCCTCTTCTGTGAGTGAATCGCGCGTGGCGGCGCAGAGTTGCATGGCGAGGGGTTCGTTTCGGGGGTCTCTGTGGCGCTGGTTTGGAGCTGCGCATTGGCGCCAATGGGCAGAAGGTTCGAGTGAGTGGCGGAGGAGGATTGTGAGGACGTGGTGGAGGAGGGGGAGGAGGAGGGGGGAAGAGGAGGTGGGGAAGGACGTGGAGACTTGAAATGGTTGGTCTGTTTCGCTTGAGACATCCTCACAGTGCTTCGCTTCGTCTGAGACGTCCCCATACATCAACGCGAAGATGAGGCCCAGGGGCATGCAGAGGAGGTTGAAGCGGTTGTGGGAGCACGACTGCGCTCTTGCCATCGAGGAGGTGAGCATGGTGGCGGCCTCGCTATACAACGCGCTGGACCTTCGCGCTTGCCACGGGCGCAGTGACACGCACGACGTGCAGAAATCCACCTACAAGCGGCCGCGCTACCACTTCGGGCGCGTCCCCATCGTGTTGCACGTGGGCGATTTCCTGCAGCTGAAGACCACCGGCACCATCGGCCTGCTGACGGAGGTGAACCAGCTCCTGGACGACGGGTCGTGCAAGTACGCGGAACCGCCGACGGTGGCGATTTAGCACGCAATCGAAGTCTTCTCTCAGATCCCTTGCGTCTTCGAGCTGAACGGCACGAAGCACTTCGAGCCTGGGGACCCTCTGATCACGTTCTTGGGCTGCACGCGGGAGGGCGAGCGCCTTCCGCCAGAGGTCTGGTCTGCCTGGGAGAGGGCGTTGGCCTCGGACAACCACGGCGTCTTGGACCCTCGGCGCTAGCGCAAGCATTTCCGCCTTGGCTCCGGCGTGGGCGTCTACTGGGAGACGCTGGCGAGGTGAATCAACGCGCGAACTCGTCGCGACGCGCGGCGTCTGGGCGCGCCCTTGCTATGCCTGCGGGCAGTGGGCGAGCGCAGCGCGATTCAAGGCGATCCAGACGCGGGCCGGCGTTTCCTGAACGTCCCGACAATGCGCAAGACGGGGGGCACCCACGGCGTCGTGCCGGCACGCGTCGGCATGGAGGTCTGGTTCGCGGCTGCGCAGGAGGAGCTCAAGTAAGAGTTTGGGCTCGTCCAGGAGCGACGGGCCACCGTCGTGTCCTTCGAGTTTCACCCGGACGACGGGCGGGAGTGCGAGGAGCGCGCGCGTGGCCAGCTCCTTCGCCCCCGTTGCCTGCCGCAGGGAACTTGGATGCAGGTGCGCGGCTTCGCGGAGTCGCCGATCTACAAGGAGTTCGCCGAAGTCCTGCTCCAGGGCGCCGAAGGCGCCGATGACGACGGCGAGGCCGAGGCACGGGCGAGGAGCTTGTTCATGTTCAGGCCCAGCCAGTAGGAGTTTACGCGGGGCCGCGCGCCGTGCGCCTCTCGGGGTCCACCCTGGCGCGCGCGTCGTACCCGAGCTCCGCGCTGTCGCGGGGCCGGGCGCTGCGCAAGGGCGTCGCCATCGACTGCGCTTGGGGTGAGGGCGATGGTCGCGCGGGCATGTCGGGGCGCGCTGGCCCCGCGGCCGCCCGCGCGAGAGTTTTTAGAGCGTGGGCCGCCAGCGCCCCCGTGGGAGGCCCTCGGGAATAGATTATCGTGTTGGGTCTTGCAGCCGGAGTATTTTTTGGGTTGAGCTGCCGCGACTGAATAATTATTGTTGATCCCCCTTCTGGGGAACATATGGATTTTTTAATTGAAGTGCCCTTCCCGGGGTTCGAACCCTGGTTTTCACCGGGGGAAGGTTTGGGTCTCTGTCGCCCGGGCGTTTCCGATGATTTATTCGGAGATCGCGCTATCGTTCGAGACTTCCTCGCGATTCGTGCCCGCGCTTCGGCGACCCGCCTGCTCGACTTGGCCGTTTGGGCCCGCCTTCCCGACCCGCCCGTGAGGGTCTCCCCGCCCAGTCGTCCAGTTTGGTTTTGCCACGTGCTTTCTGCTCCTGGCCCCCGTCCTGCTGATCTCTCTCGCGCTCCATCCTCTTCCCTCTCTCTTCCATCCGTCCTTTCTTCCCCTGTTTTAGGGGGTGCGCCAAATGCGCGCGGCAGGTGGGGAAGGTATACCCCCAAGGTGAGGCGGGTACGAGGGTTTGGGATATACGTGCTGAGTGGCATGCGAGCACGTAAGAGCGAGCAGTCTTCAACTGATTACTATTGTTGTTGTTGTTGTTGTTGCTGCTTCTGCTGCTGCTGTTGCTTTTCTTGTTGTTCTTGTTGTTGAATTCTCAGTCTTGAATAATAATTATTGTTGATCCCCTTCGGGGGCACATGGTGTTTTTCAATTGAAATGCCCTTCCCCGTTCCTGATTTTTCCCTTTGGAAAAGGGAAGGTCTCGGGTCTCAGAATTGTGTCGTTGGCCCTTGGGTTACAACAGCTGTAGCTCACGCCGCATAGTTCTTCACAGTGTATTCCCAAAGTGCGATCTCGCGCAGGACTCCCTCACAAGTTATGCAGACATCGCGCTCTCGCGTGGGACTCCCTTGCAATTTACTCAGGCGCCGCGCCTTCGACACTCAGGAATCGCACTCTCGCTTTGGCCTTTCTCACGAATTACTTGGGATTCGCGCTATCGCTCAAACTCTCTTCGCGGTTCATGCGGTATTCACACTTCAGCAACACGCCTGCTCGACCTGGCTGAGCCTGCCTTCCGACCCGCCCGTTAGGGTCTACCCGCCCGATGGGCCTGTCTGGTTCTGCCATGTGGTTTCTGCTCCTGGCCCCCCTTTTGCTAACTTCTCTCGTGCTCTATCCTTCTCCCTCCCCCTTCAATCCGTCCTTTTTTTTTTTTTTTTTTTTTTTTTTTTTTTTTTTTTTTTTTTTTTTTTTTTTTTTTTTTTTTTTTTTTTTTTTTTTTTTTTTTTTTTTTTTTTTTTTTTTTTTTTTTTTTTTTTTTTTTTTTTATAAGGGCTGCGCTACCTGCACGCGGCAGGTAAGGAACATATATATATATAAACATATGTGTATATATATATATACACCCCCGAAGGGGTACGATTGAACACGAAAAGGGCGGGTACCAAGGGTTTGGGATATACGTGTTGAATGGCACGCGAGCAGATCGCATCGAAGAGTCTTAAATTGATTGTTTCTGTTGTTGTTGTTGTTGTTGTTGTGGTTGTTACGGTTGGGATTATTGTTGTGTGTATTTTGGGTTGAACTCTCACTTGTGAAGAATAATTATTGTTGATCCCACCCGTCCGGTGCACATTGTTTTTTCGATTGAAGTGCCCTTCCCGGGGCTCGCACCCTGTTTTTATCAGGGAAAGTCTTGAGCGTCAATTTGTGTCGTTGGCCCCTGGTTTACAACAACAACGACGACAACAACAACAACAACAACGGCTCCCGTTTGAGACTTCCTCACAATTTAGCCAGGACCACCGCTTCCGCCCGAGACTTCCTCGCGTTTTATTCAGGAATCGCGCTCTCGCTTGGGATTTCCTAAGAATTTTTTCAAAGAGATTTTCCTACGCATTCCTCCTCCCACTCTCCCCGATCCTCCTCCTCTCCCCTCCCTCCCCCTCCACTCTTCCCCCCCCTCCCCCCCCCTCTTCCCGTCCCGCCTCACCCCCCCTCCTGCCTCCCTCCCGCTGCCGCGGGCACGGGCCGGTCGGGGCCGGCTCCACAGCCCGCCCATCACCCCGGGCGCCCGCGCCGAGCCCGAGGCGCTGTTCACGACGGCCGAGAAGGACGACGGCTACAGCGTTCCAGGAGGGTTCCTGCTGCTCCGCTTTCTTTTGCAGGCCAGTGCGTATCACAGGTCGGCTCGCGCACTTGTTTTTTCCGAGTTTGCCTTGCGTCTCACAGGCGTGCCCGGTGCAGTCAGCCCGCGTAGTAAGGAAGGCCACTCTGCCCAGGAGGAGGCGGAGGAGGAGGAGGAGGAGGAGGAGGAGGAGGAGGAGGAGGAGGAGGAGGAGGAGGAGGAGGAGGAGGAAGAGAGGAGGAGGAGGAGGAGGAGGAGGAGGAGGAGGAGGAGGAGGAGGAGGAGATACCCCTGCATCCTTCCCGCTTCGGCACCTCCTCGGGCCGCTTTCGCTGGCCGCTCCCCGCATCCTCAGCGACTCTCGCGGGCGAGCCTCGTTCGAACACGTTGACACCGCCCTCCAAGGCCCTTGCAGCCCGCGCGTCCTTATTGCACGGGTGGACTGTGGTCATAACCGAGGCGTCAAGATCTGGTGGTCGCGCTCCCTCCCTCCCCCCGCCAGAAAAAAAAAGCGTTCCAGGAGGGCTCCTTCTCTCGAGGAAGAGCAGGCGGCATAATCATAGCCTTCCGAAGGTCCGCGCCGCCCCCTGGCGCGAAACCGCGCGCCAGCGAGGGGGGTGCAGCGCCGTTCCCCCAAGCCGCGCGGGCCTTCGCACGTCAACGTTTATGCGTTCTCCATAGTCTTCTCTAGGCCACGACCTTCTGCATCGCACGAGCGGGAGGATGTTCTATCGCGTGCTCTGCTCCAGGTGTGAAGGCGCGTGCACTCGCGCGTGCGCCTGCGCGCGTCTCATGGCCGAGGCCCGAATCTTGAAACCCATTTGTCACGAGCGAGATCCACACAGCTACGCACTCAACGCTTGACATTTCTTTGGTCTCGTCGTGCCTCTCCCCACCCTTGACCTGTCTCCTTTCCGTCCCGTGTCCCTCCCCTATCCTCTTATCCCCTCGCCTTCTCTTCCCTTCCGTCCCCCTGCCTTTCCTCCCTTCCCTCCGCTCCCCCGCCTGTCCCACTTCCGACTGCGCATAACGCGATGGGTTCTTCCGCTATGACACGCGTCTGCGGATACAGAAAAACATCGCAATGGGAAGGGAATGGATGGGCGGGAGGGGTAGGATGCCAGATATGGCGCGAGGAGGGGGAGGGGGAGGAGGTCTCTGGCACGCTCCTCTCCTCCCCATGTTTGGCCCGTGAGTCCCTTTCCCCTGGAGCGGCCTGGAGTTCTCGCTCCCCTGGCGGTCTCGTTCCGTGTGCCCGCCTGTGGGCATCTCCTCTTCACGGAACTTCGTGCCAGATCTGCCCGTCTCCGTCGGCCGCTTGAGCTGGATGAGGCAAGAGGTCTCATCGCCACGGTCCGCCACCGAGACGAGCTGTGCCGAGGAGGGCGGAGTTGAGGCGGAGAAGGAGCCCGGAGAAAGAGAGGCTGAGGATGAGGAGGGGGCTGGCCGAGGAAGCGGATAATGAGGAGGACGACGAAGGGGGAGAACGGGGGCGGAAGTGAGGTGGGGCGAGAGGAGGAGGCAGAGGCCGAGGCGCATACTGTAGAGTTGTTGACTGATCAGGTGACTTCATCTAGTTTTGTGCAGCATATTCGAACAGAGAACATTGAACGGACCAGAGCGACAGTCAGTACCATGCGAGCAATGATTGATGGTTATGGTCTTCTATGTGAATTTTGCTATGGTGAGCGTGTCGCTTTCGGGCGGTTGCGACCGTTGACTTGTGGCTTCCGGGCGCATACGTTCTGTTCATGCTTCGCATCCGTCGTTTTGTGTGCGATTTGCGCCCCAGAGCGACTGTGCGATTTGTGACCTTTTTTCTGGCATCACCAGGTTGGTCGTTGCCACTGTGCATCCGTTTTCCTCTTTTGGAGCAATCCTCTTGCTGCCCATTACAAACCCTTGGCCCACCTCTGCTAGGTTCACTGCACTTTACATTTGGCTGCTAGCCTTATGGTGGCGATGACATCGTCCACTATCTTGACCGCTCGGTTCTTACCTTTTTGTCCTTGCCGTCTCCAGTTCCCTGTTTTTTGGTATGAGCAAATGTGCGTGGACCCCAAGTAGGGCGCTCTCGTACCCTCCATGTACAATCTATGTGTTGCAAGCTATGTCATGCTTTCTGCGTGCGGTTCAAGCTATGTGGTACAAGCCATGTGTCGCAAGCTATGTGGTGCCACCAGCGTGGTGCAAGCTATGGATTGCAAGCTGTGCGGTGTGAGCTATGTGTTGCAGGCTGGGTGATGCAGCCTGCGTGTGGTGCAGATCAGGTGTCGGAAGCTTTGAAAGAGCGCGTTCTGTGGACGTTTGGAAGGGGGGGTAAGAACCGGTGGGGGAGGGAGGGCCCCTGAGATGACAGGGGCGTGGTGGTCGAACCGGCAAGGGGGAGCTCGAACCGGGGCCCCCCCTCCCCTCCCCCCTGAGTTGCAAGGGGGGAAGGGGTTTCGAACCGTCGGGGGTTCCCCCTTGCAAGGGGTGGGGGGGGTTCGAACTAGGGGGTTGGGGCCCTCCCCCCCTCAATTGCAGGCGGGGAGGGTTCGAACCCGGGGGGTGGGTAGGGAGGGGGGGGGCCCTCTCTCAGGGGGGGTGTTCGAACAGAGGGCCCCCTCCCCCTGAATTGCAAGGGGGGGGTTCGAACCGGGAGGGACTCCCCCCCTGCAACCGACGACGGCGCCAGCGCCGGCGCCGGCGCCGTCGGGCAGCGACGACGACAACAACGATGACGACGACGACAACGGTGACGATGACGGTGACGGCGACGCCGAAGACTTCGCCGACGCCGCCGACGACGACGACGACGACCACGACCATGCCGACGCCGACGCCGACGATTGATCCTTTTCCTCGCTCGCTCGCTCGCTTGCTCGAGCGAGCGAGCGAGCGAACACGCGAGCTGCACCATGTATTTCATGTCGCGCCCTCTCGACCCGCTCCGCCCAGCTCGCTCGGCCGCTCTCTTCGGGCGAGCGACCGAGCGAGCACGCGAGCACCATGCATATAATGTCCCGCCCGGCCAGACCCGACCCGCTCGACTCGCCCGCTCGCTTGCTTTCTTGAGCGAGCGAGCGAGCGAGCGAGCGAGCGAGCAAGCGAGCGAGCGAGCACCATGCATCGAATCGACCCTCACTTGCTTCAGCGAGCGAGCAAGCGAGCACCATGCATTTTCATGGCCCGCCCGCCCGCCCCGCCCCGTCCGGCTCGCTCGCTCGCGCGCCTGCTCCGGCTCGCGAGCGAGCACGCGAGCACCATGCATTTTGATGTCCCGCCCCGCCCGCCCCGCCCCGCCCGACCCTGTCGCCCGCATGCTCGCGCGAGCGAGCGAGCGAGAGCACCGACTCCCTCCTGCCCTCGCTCGCTCGCCCGCATGCTTGCTCCGGAGCGAGCGAGCGAGCAGGCGAGCACCCGCCGTCCTCGCCGTCGCCGTCGCCTTCGCTGTTGTCGTCGTCGTTGTCGTTTTCGCCGTCGTCGGCGTCGTCCTCGGCGTCGCCGTCACCGTTACCGTTGTCGTCGTCGCCGTCGTCGTCGTCGTCGTCGCCGTCGTCGCCGTCGTGGTCGTGGTCGTGGTCGTGGTCGTGGTCGTCGTCGTCGTCGTCGTCCTCGTCGTCGTCGTCGTCGTGGCGTCGTCGTCGTGGCCGTCGTCGTCGTCCTCGTCGTCGTCGTCGTCGTCCTCGTCGTCGTTGTCGTCGTCGTCGTCGTCCTCGGCGTCGCCGTCACCGTTACCGTCGTCGTCGTCGTCGCCGTCGCCGTCGTCGCCGTCGTGGTCGTGGTCGTGGTCGTCGTCGTCGTCGTCGTCGTCGCCGTCGTCGTCGTCGTCGTCGCCGTCGTCGCCGTCCTCGTCGTCGTCGTGGCGTCGTGGTCGTGGCCGTGGCCGTGGTCGTCGTCGTCGTCGTCCTCGTCGTCGTCCTCGTCGTCGTCGTCGTCGTCGTCCTCGTCGGCGTCGTCGTCGTCGTCGTCGTCGTCGGCGTCGCCAGCCACCTTCGTCACTTTCGTCGTCGTCGTCCTTGTCGTCGTCGTTACGTCGTCGTCGTGGTCGTCGTCGTCGTCGCTGCCCGACGGCGCCGGCGTCGGCGCTGGCGCTCGCCGTCGCGGGCCGTCGTCGCTTGCAGGGGGGGGGTGCGGGTTCGAAGACCCTCCCCCTGCGCGACTCAGCGGGGGACGGTGCGGGTTCGAAGACCCTCCCCCTGCGCAGCTCAGCGGGGGGGCCCCTCCGTGGATGGAGCCCCCCCCACCCCTTCTGCCACTCGGGGCGGGGGGAGGCCGCGGTCCGACACCCCCCCCCACCTCCTCCTGGAGACAGGAGGGGGGGGGGCCACTCGGTTCGACCCCCCCCCCCTGCAACTCTGGGGAGGTGGCCCTCCCCCGGGTTCCAGCCTCCCCCCCCCCCCCCCTTGGAAAGGGGGGAAGCCCCCCCCGGTTCGAACGCCCCCTCTGGGGGGTGGGGGCCCTCCCGGCTCGTTTTTGCCCCCCCCTCCCCCTCACGTTTCCAACGTGCCGAGGTGGTTTGTCCAGGCAGGCGTTCACGAGACGCGTTCTCTCCAGGCTGCAGATCGGAGGATCTGTGGCTGTGTGGTTGCAGTCTGCGTGGTGCAAGCCGCGTGGCGCGAGCCGGCTGGTGAACCCCGCGCACGGAGCGCCCAGGCGCCTGCGCTGGGTTCATGCGGCGTTGGCGCGCCGGTGACACCGGCGAAGGCGTTCAGGGTTGAATTCTGCGACGCGGAGGTACCGATAGGCAGTGGTCGTTGAAAGTTCAGCAGGCTTTCTCTTGGATTCCCACATCCCAATTTGCTGTAAGTGCCTTCCTACTTCAATGATCGAGTGGCTTCTCCTGTTCCGTCCTCCCAAGGGGGCGGGCGCACACCCAGTCTTCTTTCAATACCTTCATGCTTCATGTTTCTACCTGCTTCTTCCGACCGATGGATAGACACTGCAGCGCCACGGGACCCGACTGAATTCAAACTTGAGCGATCGGGGCCGCGATCGGTTCAAGATTGAACGATCGACGCGGTGTCGAAAACCTCTGCGCACGCCGACGCCGCGCGAACCTACAGCCAACCCGCATTGTAAGGAAGGGCAGCCTTCCCAAGGGTATACCTATACCCTTGCATCCTTGCCTCCTCGGTCCGTCCTTGGCCACTTTCGTTGGCCGCGCCCCGCTCGAGAAACTTCGAAATGGGCGTCCATAGTAGAACGAAGAATGACATGAACGTAAAAACTCGGGGGTCCGCGCGGATTTCTCGGATCGGCGCTGGACCCCCCTCCTTGGCGCGCGGAGCGCGCCAGGGGCGGCGCCGGAGGCGCCGCCAGGGGGGTCCAGCGCGGATCCGAGAAGTCCGCGCGGACCTCCGAGTTGTATGTTTGTGTCATTCTTCGTTCCCCTAGGAGTCCAGGACCCTCGCATCCTCACCGCGCATCCTTGCTCTGCGGGTTGGCTGTGCCGCAGGGGTGGTCACCCACTGGGCACCTGGCGAAGCCCGGCCACCCCCACCCCATCGCACGGGGGCGCCCACGGGGCGCACGCGGGCGGCCAACGACTGGGCGCCAGGCGAGACCCAGCCACGCGCACGCCGATATAAACACGTACATTGGTTTGAGTCGGGCGTGCCTCTATACAGGAGGAGTATTCAAACATAGTCAAAGCACGAGTCTAGTCAACAATCTTTCGCCCAGAATCCGCCTGTAGGAGGACACGCCCGACCTGAACTTGGGTCATCCAAGTACGAGCCCTTGAGTGCAAGCACTGTTTGGGGCGTCGTTCGTGTTGTAAGCTTCTCCTGAGTGTCCTGCATGCATCTGGCGCTACATGTTCTTTGCCTGGGTGCTAAGTGCAAGCGCTGTTAGGGGAGTTGATCGTGTCGTAAGCTTCTCTTGAGTGTCCCACATGCATCTGGCGCTACATGTTCTTTGCCTGGGTGCTCGATTGGGCCTGGTTCGGTCCGGGGCACGTTCAGTGCGTTACGCTGGTGATGTGCCTGTGGGTTTGCGACGCTCGAGGCTTTCTAATGGACGCGAGCGTGGCAGATCGCCCAAACGGCCATGAGAGCTGCCTTTGTCTGTAGGTGGGCGTTGAGGCGACTTCGTTCCCCAGGGGCTACGCCATCCTCATCCGCATCATAATGCTGAGGAGGCCAATCACCATTACGGCGCATACCATCACCATAGTCACAATCGTCACCAGCATCTCCATCTTCACACCCGCCATCATGTTCGCTCGCATTCTCTTCTTCCTGCGTGGCGACTCTGGATCAAGATCTATTTGTTTGTTGTCGCAGAGACGACCCGCTTGCTTTGTGCACCAAAGCCGGCGAGGCCTGGCCTCCAAAATCATGGCCACGATGCCCCCGGTATGGAGCGAACTGTTTACACAGGCGACCAAGATGAAGGGCACCCACCTCAAGACCCTCATGCAGGACCAGGCCCGGAATGACTCCATGTTTGTTACGTCTGTTGGCGGCATGGTTCTGGACTACTGCCGTGAGAAGGTCGATCAGGAGACGATGGCCAAGCTCTTCGCGCTGGCGGAGACGACGGGCGTCGAGGAGAAGAAAAAGAAGATGTTCTCGGGAGTGAAGATCAACGAGACTGAGGGACGCCCAGCGCTTCACGTCGCGCTCCGTGCGCCGCGCGAGGCCAAGATCGAGGTTGATGGGGCTAACGTCGTGACAGACGTTTGGAAGGTGCTGGACGGCATCAAGGACTTCTCCGAAAAGGTCCGCTCAGGCGAGTGGAAGGGCTTTACCGGCAAGCCGCTGACGGACGTCTTGTGCATCGGTATCGGCGGGTCGTACCTGGGCGTGGATTTCGTCTTCGAGGCCCTGAAGACAGACCCAGAGGCAGCGGCCGCCGCAACAGGGCGCCGCCTCCGCTTCCTGGCCAACGTTGACCCAATCGACGTCAAGCGCGCACTAGATGGGCTTAGTGCAGAGACGACGCTGGTGCTCGTCGTCTCCAAGACCTTCACGACGGCGGAGACCATGTTGAACGCCAAGACGGTGAAGGAGTGGCTCATCAAGGAGCTCGGAGACCCCGCCTGCATCTCAAAGCATGTTGCGGCATGCTCCACCGCGCTCGACAAGACTTCGGCCTTTGGCATCGACTCGAAGAACGTGTTCGGCTTCTGGGACTGGGTCGGTGGGCGCTTCTCCTGCTGGAGCGCCGTGGGCGCGCTGCCACTCTCGCTCCAGTATGGCTTCCCCATAATGGACAAGTTCCTGAAGGGCGCGCACGAGATGGACAACCACTTCTTCTCGGCGCCGGCCGCGGAGAATCTCCCGCTGATCATGGGCCTGCTGAGCGTCTGGAACTGCAGCGTCCTGGGCTACGAGGGCCTCGCGGTGCTCCCGTACTGCCAGGCGCTGGTGCGCTTCGTGCCCCACATCTCGGGTGTTGCCAGAGGTGTTGACCCCTTGGCATCGCTCGGACGTGTGCATTTGGTCCTCGGCGAGGACCATCGAGGAGCATCTCGGATCGTCTTGCGGAAAAATAAACGCTCGAAGTGAAGCAGAGCACAGGAAATGGACGTCCGAGCGATGGCGAGGACCCACGGTGTCTCTAGGATGACCGAAAAAGCCCAGATGGCCTCCAGAGCACCATGCACCAGAGGGCTCCAGGGTCTCCAATGTGGAGCGAAAAGCTGGGGACACCTTGAGCCAGCGACACGTTTAGCAACCCCCGAACATCCAGCAGCTGGACATGGAGAGCAACGGCAAGCGCGTGACCATGGGCGGCGCCGAAGTGCCCGTGGGCACGGGTGCCATCTACTTCGGCGAGCCGGGCACTAACGGCCAGCACTCTTTCTACCAGCTGATGCACCAGGGTCGCGTCATCCCCGCTGAATTCATCGGCTTCTCGACCTCACAGAATCCAGTGTCGCTGCCTGGAGAGCCTGTGAGCAACCACGACGAGCTGATGTCAAACTTCTTCGCGCAGCCAGATGCGTTGGCCCTCGGCAAGACAGCCGAGGAGCTGAAGGCTGAGGGTGTGCCAGACAACTTGATCGCTCACAAGACCTTCCCGGGCGACAGGCCGTCGCTGTCTTTGTTGTTGCCCGTGTGCAACGCGACCTGGCTGGGCAAGTTGCTCGCCTTGTACGAGCACAGAACGGCGGTGCAGGGATGGTGCTGGGATATCAACTCCTTCGACCAGTGGGGCGTGCAGCTGGGCAAGGTGCTGGCCACCGAGGTGCGGAACTACCTCAAGGACGCCAGGGGCGGGTCTGGCGACGACTCGAAGTTCCCTGGCCCTACCAAGAACCTCCTCAAGAAGTACCTGGCGTGAGGGAGGCGGCCCAGACGGGCGCTGCCGCCGCAACGCTTGGCGTGGTGGAGGCTGGCCGCCCCGCCCCCCCCGCCGACCTGGGTCGAAGAAGCAGACCGACTTTCTCTCGAGTCCGCTCGGCACTGTGCTTCAAAGTTCTCGTCTAGCTGTCTGCGCCTGGAGCGATAGCTCCATCTGTTTTCAAGACTTCGAGTTAGGCCCCCTCGTCGAAAAGCACCTCCATCATCCAGCGTGCGCCCTCCCCCGCGAGCGGCGAACGTATCCACATCCATGCCATCTCGGTCTGAACTCCGAGGCGCGGTCCCACGGACACGCTTGGCGCGGGGAATCCGCGCAACGCCGCCCTGTGTCCGTGGGGTGGCGGCTGTGGTGCCTGGACCGCGACGCCGTGGTTCTGGATACGGTAGGCATGTCCAATGAGACACCTGCCCACCTGCAGGTGCCCCATACACGCATTTCTTATCCCCCGACGGCCCTGTGGACCCAGCGAAAGACTCGAGCACCTGAGGACGCTCATCCCGAAGGGGAAGCAACGGCAGACACAGAGTGGTTCGGAGGTCCGCGCGGACCTCCAGAAGTTTATGCTTGTGTAGTTTTTTTTGTTCCCCAATCAAATCAGGAGGGAAAAAACACACGGACAATTCACCGTCGACTCCAAAGAAAATATGGGAAACTATGGGAAGTGGGGGGGAAGATGAAAACCCAGAAAGTACAGGAAAATATGGGGAATCCTGTTGTTTGTGTCTATTTCTTTGTGTGTCCCTGGGCCCCTTCGTCAAAGCCGGCGCCGAATGCGCCCCTGGATTCCTGACAGTGCGATGCCTTGATGTGTGTGTGCTTGCTGTGCTGCAGCTTCGCGCCGTGTCGACCCGGCGGCGACTCGGCCGTGGGCGCTCACGGTTGGACGCCTGCGCAGTGGCCTGACATCAGCCAGTGCGGAATGCAATCGAAAAGCCGCTGATCGCTCAGGCTCGACCGATCCGGGCGTTGCCAGAAATCAGCGCAAGGGGGTCGCCACGACATGAGCCTGTCACACATCGCTTGAAGGGAGCCCAGGATGGCCGCAAGATGTTTCCAGGACGGCTCAAGATGGCCGAAGAGGCCGCCCAGACGCCCCAGCAGGGCTCCAGGAGGACCTCCGGGAGGCCACAGTCATCGACCTCCCTGAAGCTCTCCGACGACTTCTGCGTGCTCGCCCTTTCGGGCAGCCGCCGCCCCGGGACGGGCCACGGAGGGCCCCCAAGACGGGTGGGCTCTTCGCCCGGGGCCCCCGCGTCGTCCGCGCCGTCTCGCGCCCGCCGCGGGGTGCGCCGGGCGCGAGACGGCAAGAAGCGCCGCCCGCCGCGTCCCCAGCTGGCGCCATCAAGGTCCTGGCCGAGCAGGGCGGGAGCCTCGGGCGCCTCCAGGGGGGGGCGGGAGGCGGGGAGGGGGGGGCGGGCAGGGGGGGAGGGGGTGGTGGGTAAGCTGTCCCTCTTCAGCGTGGCGTGTACGGTGCCCGAGGCTCGCTTTCTTGCTGTCGGCGGCCGCTGCCGCCGTCCCTGACGCTGCGAGCGAGTGCGCTCGGCAGCCTGCGCAAGAAAAAAGGTGGGTAAGCTGGGTGCGCTCGCGTCATATCTGACGTCCTGCCCCTCCCTCCCATCCCTGACCATGGCGCAGATCTCCTCTCTATTCGCACAGTCGGACGTCGAGCAGGATCATGATCCCGAGAGGGTGCGCGATGCATCGTACAGCACGGCGTAGCTGGGCGTAGGAGAGCACGGCAGAGCGTGGTATGTCATAGCACGGCGTGGCGTTGCGTAGTGAAGAATTGCAACACAAAACGTTGCAACGACCATAATGTCATCGCACAACGGCACAGAACTTCACATGGCATAGCATGGCGTTGAACATCAAAGCGTAGCACGGCATAGCATGGCGTGGCACTGCGTAGTCAAGCATTGCACATCCTCGCATTTCAGCTGAAGGCATGGCATGGCACAGCGGAACACCACATCGCATTGCATGGCGTGGCATGGCGCTGGATATGATGACGCCAGCGCTGCAGCGGGAGCACGATTCGGAACGAGTGGAAGCGCGGAAATGAGGCCAGCGTTGCAGCGGGAGCACGATTCGGAACGAGCGGAAACGCGGGAATTAGGCCAGCGCTGCAGCCGGAACACGATTCAGAACGAACGAACGCCCGAAAATGAGGCCAGCGCTTCAGCGGGAGCACAATTCTGAAACAAATCCCAGCGAAAACCCAACTCCCAGGAATTCTGTGTGTAAAAGAGTACGCGGCGGGGGGCCGGACATCTTCAGGACGTCATCCGGGGAGAGAGGAGAGTATTAGTCATGTTGCGTGATTGTGAAACGGGGGGCAAGGAGGGGGGGCAGGGGCAGGGGGAGAGGGGAGGGGGAGGGGGATAGGGAGATGGGGGAGGAGGAGGAGGAAGATGCGGAGGAGGGGGAGGAGCGGAGGAGGAAGAGGAGCAGGCGGAGGAGAGGAGGAGGAGGAGGAGGAGGAGGAGGAGGAGGAGGAGGAGGAGGAGGAGGCGGAGTGCGGAGGCGGAGGAGGAGGAGGAGGAGGAGGGAGGAGGAGGAGGAGGAGGAGGAGGAGGAGGAGGAGGAGGATCAGGAGGAGGAGGAGGAGGGAGGAGGATGAGGAGGAAGAGGAGGAGGAGGAGGATGAGGAGGAGGCGGAGGAGGAGGGGGAGGAGGAGGAGGAGGAGGAGGAGGAGGAGGAGGAGGAGGAGGAGGAGGCGGAGGCGGAGGAGGAGGCGGAGGAGGCGGAGGCGGAGGAGGAGGCGGAGGCGGAGGCGGAGGCGGAGGCGGAGGTGGCGGCGGCGGAGGAGGAGGCGGAGGAGGAGGAGGAGGGGAGGAGGAGGAGGATGAGGAGGAGAAGTACTTAGAACCCCGTGGGCCTAACTCCACCCTGACTGACACGTAAACCGCCCCAGTACAGCACACAGCAGGGGAAAGAGGAAGGAGCGGGGAGATGAGCAGGGAGCGCCCGCCAGCTCAGCTACTGGCACGGGCGCGGTGGCCCCCATGGGTCCGCAAAGAGGGCCCCGACCCAGTACCACCTCCAGGGCACGTAGAGATGCCTCCAGCGCCTCCCTGTAGGAGGAGGAGGAGGAGGAGGAGGAGGAGGAGGAGGAGGAGGAGGAGGAGGAGGAGGAGGAGGAGGAGGAGGAGGAGGAGGAGGAGGAGCGGAGGAGGAGGAGGAGGAGGAGGAGGAGGAGGAGGAGGAGGAGGAGGAGGAGGTCCCCTGGAGGTCCGCGAGGACAGCCCCTGACCCAGTACCCTTCCCAGGGCACATACGCACAGTCTCATCACCTTCGACTTCGGAGAGCACTCGTGGGCCCGCGGGGGCAGCCCCCGGCCCAGTGCCTTCCAGTTGCCACGTGCTCCCAATCGTGCTGTCCGGGCCCTGGACTCGACCCAAGAGGGGAGCACTCTGCTCACTGGCCTCCCCGCTCACGCGACTCCACCCCCCGAAGGGCGGGGAGCGCAGAGACGGTTCAGCCCGGATGTCTCCGACGCCTTGGATCGGGCCCAGGCAGCCTTCTTCGTGAAGCCGATCCTCTGTGAGCTCGTGGGGTCAGTCCCCGACTCAGTACACTCCAACAGGCACACACCACCAGTATCTGCAGCCACCGGGATCTTGCTTCTGCATCTCACAGTCGATTTTGGCAACATGCCTCGAGCCAGCCTGCCGAGCGTCTGCTTTCTACAGTGCCCCAGAACGCCTGTGCACTGGCCAGCTAGAACTATGTGAACATGCTTGCCCACACAAGAGAATTGCAGGCAGGCGCGGATCTGCAAGTCTGCGAAGTATCCCAACCAGTGGGAGCTATGGTTCGGGACACCTTGCGCTGAAACGCCGATGCCCCCACGTTTTCGAGTCTAGCCTTTCACAATGCCACCCGAACACGGCGGCGTCAGGAAATGGTACAGCTTCCGCCCGCTGGTATTCCACCAACACTCATTGCACTGGAAACAGACCCTATCCCAGTGAACACAGCATGCTCCGACATTTGACGGGGTGGCTAAGCACAACTTGTTTCTTCGGCGCCACCCAGGTCTATATGTACTTTGTGTGCGTCGCCTCCCGCAGGGGCGACGCGCGCGCCAAGACATCTTATAGTATAAGATGCGTGGCGGGCGCTTTCTGGCCATACCGCTCGGGAAACGATATACCACACTATGAATATGTGTTATGTTCGGGTCGGACGCACGTCTCTGAGGAGGATATCTAATGCTAGTATTTTCTTGTGCGTCGTACGTCTGATGCATCCAGCTGGTGCGCGCGCAGAAGCCTGGCAAGTTGTTTTCGAACAAGTCAGGTGTTTTGGAGGTATTTCGTGACTAGCTATGTCTTGAAAAGGTGAGAGCATACATTCTTTTGACACCTGCGTTTTACATGTGCCTGGGCTACG